ACACTCCCTCCCCTTCAACTCCTCCCATATCTCCCCTATTACTTTTTCCTGAACAACTTTGTGTAGTCTTTCTTTTTTTATGGGCCTTTTTGCTACTCTAACATTTCCCCCTCTGAAGAGGTAACTCTAAAATCTTTTAGGGATTAGATAAGAGCTCCCCAATGCTTTCCACATTTTTGGCCTTTGGAATGGAGTAGGTTGCTAAGAGGCCCAAGGACATTTTGACTTTTAGCCAAGAAGCTGGCTACTTTTCTTTGTGTTCTTTTTACCCTAATTGCCTAGCCAATTCCTACCTCCTATTCTTATCACACCGTCCTCTGAAGAGGTTACCCAAATTGCCAATAGGGAATCGGGCGGGACACAGACTGCTCTGGCTTCTTCCATGTTGAACAGGGATGTAGGGTCAGGCAATTGGGGTACCCCTTCAGTGGGTCTGTCTAAAAGACTCCCAAATTGCATAACTCTTATCTGTAGGGGAAAGAAAGTCCTTGACTGGTGAACAGGACAAATTGCATAACTCTTATCTGTAGGGGGAAAGAAAGTCCTTGACTGGTGAACAGGAGATGTGAAGGAGAAGTAGCATTACAAGTTCCAGACAGGGAACCAGAAAAAAGTCTGACCAGGGCAAATTTCAGATGTTCATATGAGAGTCCATTGGAATTTCTTGACAAGGGCTTCCAAAAGCATCCCTCTATTGAGTTCCTCATTTTTCTTTTGTCTGCCAAGGCAGAGTACACATCAAGTGCTTCTTGAAACAAACTCCCAAAAGCATCTTCTTTAGGGTCCCGGCCTTGGATGTGACTGAGAATCTTACGATCAGGTGTGGGATGTGCTATTGCAGGACCATGACAAAGCATACTCGTTCCTGACCTGGCCCCGCCACCCCGCCCCAAATTATAAGTACTCTTTGCCGTTAAGAGGACCTAAGTTCAGGCAGGGGCCAAGTCAGTCACTGCCACCTTTGCATCCTAGCACCCAGCCCAGAACCAGACACAGTCCTGGCATGGCTCAGTTACCAAAACTGCTAAGAATATCCCAGAGAAAATGGCAAGAATCCAGTATCTCAGAAACTCCTTTTGACCATACATTCCTTTAGTCATACCATGGAGTACTGTGGATTTGGTCTGGCTGTAAAACATCAGGTAGAGTCCTGAGAAGGGAGCATCACGAAGGAGGGTTGCTGTCAGGCCGCTGAAGAGGCCGCGGTGGCCCTCGCTGCAGTAGATGCTCCTCAGGGCTGTGTAGATACTCTCATAGCCATACTTCCCACTCTGCAAAGGGAGGAGATCTATTTACTGACAGGGAGGCCCTGCATTTGAGCACTAGCCTGAGCAGACCTCAGGTTGTGCACTTATTCAACTCTTAAGACTACACATCAGAGGCTGGTGCCAGTGCTCACTACCCAGATCCCAGGGCTCTATGTACCCTCCCTGAGGCTCAAAAGCAGTCAGGCTTACCTCATAGCGTGTCTTGACCACTGTAATAGGTGACATGCAGACCCCTGCGATGGAGCGAGAGCCCATGCCCAGGATGACTGCCTCCAGGGCAGTGGGAGGATGGCCTCTCAAGAAATACTGCTTCAGAGAATACAGAGTGCCGAAGTAGATGCCAACACCAGGGACACACCTCACAATAGACTGCAGAAAAGTCAGAGGGAGGAGCGATACAATCAAAGACCCAGTGCTGTAAGACGCCCTCTTAGCAGGGTGCCCCAAAGAACCCAAGGTGATCTGCATGCAAATTATTTAAGGCGTGAAGGGAGCATGGTGGTAGGGACAGGGGCAGGTGGTAGGGACAGGGGCAGCCAATAAAGGGTGCTATAAAAGCAGTTAGTTCCTTTGGGGAGTGCTGGCGTCCGTAGTAGAGAACACCCTCCCTCCCCCGCAGCGATCCATCCACTGAGGGTTGGGGTAAAGTTTAAACATCACCTCCCATCTTTCAGTGGCTGAGGGCTGCTGTGGGTTGAGGATGGGCACCAACCCATTGGCACTTCCAGCAAAGTAGGTCCTTGGGACCAGAGAAAGCCTTTGGGCAAAGAAATACAGGTATGGGTGTCCCAACCTTTCACCAAAGTGGCAAGGGCAAGGATGTCGACCATAGAGATGGTGCTGCACTAACAAATCACACCTCAGGAGTACAGATGTGACAGTCTCTTAGCCCTCAAATGGAACCACAGGGGACGGGAAGTACAGTAGTCCTCTCTGATTTGCTGAAGGGTGTGTGTGTGTGTGTGTGTGAGTGAAACAGTAAATGATCTTGAGCCCTATAAACAAATGGTTTTGTCTTGACTCTACAACTGTGTCTATGATAAAGCTTCATTTATAAATGAGGCATGGAAACTAATAAAAATTAACACACTGAAATGTGTGTGTGTGTGTGTGTGTGTGTGTGTGTGTGTGTGTGTGTGAGTGAAACAGTAAATGATCTTGAACCCTATAAACAAATGGTTTTGTCTTGACTCTACAACTGTGTCTATGATAAAGCTTCATTTATAAATGAGGCATGGAAACTAATAAAAATTAACACACTGAAATAAGTTATGTGACTGTGGTCCCTCCCTGTCTCTCTCACAATATCTTACTATTCTGTGCCCTTCTTGTGATTCTAAGAGTTAATGAAATGCCTGGGTGAGAAGATGAACAAGTGAACAAGGCAGACACTGGGATGCAGTGTCAGGCTACTACTGATCTTCTGCCCTGTCACATGGGGGATCAGCCAGTCTTGATATTGACAGGTGGACTTCAGGAGCAGGTGATATTTCAGGCTACTACTGATCTTCTGCCCTGTCACATGGGGGATCAGCCAGTCTTGACAGGTGGACTTCAGGAGCAGGTGATATTGATACCTGGGATGCCTTGCGAGATGGAGAGTGCTTTGCTTTTCTGAAAACATTTGGAAGAACAATGCCATCAGAAGGTGCGGGTCTCTTTAACTCATCAAAGCGCTTCTGCAGAAGCCTAACCCTGATCACACATCATCATCAGTGTTGTTTTCTGTCCAGGATCAGATGCCACAATTTTGTCCTTTAACTCTGCAATCTGAAACACGGTGGCCAATTTCGATAGTACTCATGTTGCTGGCTCCGATTCAGTTTGCTCTCATCGAGTTCTTCCCAGCCCTTTTGCTAGCACTTCCTCCCACAGTATGTTCTCCTGCTTCCTCATCAGGCTCAGCCACATTTGATGCTCTCTCGTGCTTTTGAAGTTATGAATGCAAGTCTTGTTGGGCATCTTCTCACGGAAGAGCCTTGGTTTCCTCATAGCAGATGACTTCCCTAGTTCACTCAGTATCCTTTCTCCTTAATCGCCTTCCACTCTGGGGAAGGTGTGGCAGCAGCTCCAACAGGATATACAGTCTATTCCAGTCCAAACCCTTTTCTTTCTTTTTAGACAGGGTCTCACTATGTAGCACTGGCTGGCCTGGAACATGCCATGTAGACCAGGCTGGCCCCAAACTCACAGAGATCCACCTGCCTCTACCCCTCAAGTGCTGGGATTAAAGGTGTGCACACCCCCAAACCTATTTCTGAATTTAGATAATCTCCTCCCTAACTTGCACTGAATGTCTTGGCATCACTCATTTTGGGAGCTCTCTTGCTGGATTCTTTGTGAAGGCTCAGTACTTTCTGCTGACACAGGCTGTCATCATTTAGAACATGTTTTCTGTCCCTGTCTTCTAATCACAGATTCAAATACCCTGTCCACCTTAACTAAGCACTTACCACACATTGTGGCTGTTAACTTTTGCAGTCTGAGCTACCACAGCAAAAACAACATGGGTTTCCTTCTCCTTCACAAGTTCATGGACAGAGAATTCCTTCTTGTCACAGATCTTAAAGCAACCTCAGTGTGCTGGATAGCTTTTAGTTGTCAACTTGACACACCCGGTTAGAGCGAACCTCAACTGAGGAACTGTCTCCATTGGACTGGCCTGTGGGGCATTTTCATGATTGCTGAGTGATGTGGGAGGACCCAGGCCACTGTGGATGGTGCCACCCCTGGGCAGGTGGGCCTGTATTGTATAAGAAAATGAAAGTAGGCTGAGCACAGGCCAGAGAAGCAAGCCAGTAAGCAGTGTTCCTCCATGGTCTGTGCTCCAGGTTCCTGCCCTGAGTTCCTACCCTACCTCCGCTTGATGATGAACTGTAGACTGTAAGGTGAAATAAACCCTTTCCTCCCCAAGTTGGTTTTAGTCATTGTATTTTTTTATCACAACAATTGAAAGTAACTAAGACACTCTGCATAGGATTCTTTTTCTTATTAAGAACTTTCACCTTTTCACCTATAGATAGCACGGGACAGCTCCTCTTTGGCATATCCAAATTGCCAACATCAGTAGTCTTGTGCTTTGAGGACATTAGTAAGTAAAATATAAGGGTTACCTAAACACAAACCCCATGATTCCCCAATGGTCGATCAGCTAACAAGTGACTGGTGGGCACATGATTAACATAGCCCAGAGCTTCTGCGCAAGGCACCTCCCAGGATGCACCGACTAGAACTGGGTGAAATTCTACCACACAACCCAGGACAGGGCAGGATTTAAAACCTACCGATTGTTCATCTCTGTCACTTTCTGTTAAATATTTCTGGACCAAGGCTGACCATGGGGAACTAAAATCACCCAGTGAAACCATAGCATTATGTTTGAAGGTGAGGTGTCCCCCACAGGTCTCCAGCTGGTAGCACCTTTTGGGGGGATTGTGAAATCTTTGAGATGGGAGGCATAGTTGGTGGAAGTGGGTACCTGGGGATGGGCTGTTGAGAGTTATAGCCCTCCCTTCTCTTGATTCCTGATTCTCTGACATGGGACCTCATGCTCCTGCCACTAAGGCTGCTGCCAGCCACTGCCCCTGTCCTGCCTCCCCGGCCATGAAAATAAGTGTCTCCGTCCTTAAGTTGCTTCAGTCAGGTATTTGGTCAAAGCAACATAAAAGTAACTGTGAGTACAAACAGATGGCGGTCTAGTCCCACTATTTCCAACTTGTAGCCTTAGGATTGGTGAGGTGGATGAGAAATGACAGACTATTAAAGAAGGTGATGCAGGAACCCAGACCCAGAAGAGAGCTTACAGGGGACATCCCTTTCCACAGGCCCAAAAGACTCTCTGTGCGAACCACCTTCAAGAATACAGCCAGCATCCCAACACGCCTGGACCTGAAGGCAGACAGAATGGACAGGAAAAGAAAAACAATCAGTTAGACCACATCCTAAGATAACTCCCCAGAACGTTCTCTGTACACTCTTCTAAAACACACAGGGACCTCTCGGCAACATCTTAGAATTGCTCTTTAAAAAAAATGTATTACTTTATTTATTTAGATTGTATATGCATACACATGTGTATACAAATGTGAGTGTGTGGTGGTCAGGGAACAACTTGTGGGATTGGTTCTTTCCTTCTACCAGGTAGTCCTGGGGATTGGACTCAGGCTCTCAGACTTGGCAGCAAGCAGCACCCTTACCTGTTGAGCCATGTTTCGGGCCCTAGAATTACTCTCAACTTCCTGTGCTCTGGGCTTGGTACACACATACCTGTCCACTCATATCACATGCAATGGGACAAACTCCACATACATTTGATGTAGCTCCCATAGAGCCGAGTTCCATGTTGGGGGGCACAAGACACACATTCAAAATGGATGCTGCTGCTTGCAGAAAACCTGGTAGTAACCAGGCAGCATGGCTATAATATCACACATTAGCATAAGAAAAACAAAACTGTTCCCAAGGCGGAGCCTACAGAGCTGTTCAGGAAGGGACCCATTTAATAAGAAACATCAAACTATAATGTGTCTATATATTATATATATAAAGATATAACTTTTTCTTCAAAAAAGAGTATGGCATATGGCCCAGCACTCAGGAAGCTGAGGCAGGAGGATTTCAAGTTCAAGGTCAGCATGAGCCACATAATAAGACTGTCTCAAATAACAAAACCACGCAGAACTTGAGCATGTCTTGTGCTTCTCTTTGGAAAATCTAACATGATGGAAGTTTATTGCATTGGTGAGGACACTTCTGTGTCTGAGCTATTAAACCCAGCTGCTCAATGAAAAGTGGGCAATGGGCCCTACCCATGGTCTGAGGGCTGGAGAGTCTGCAGGCGAGTTTTGAGGAGATCCAGAGGCTGGAAGAGGAGGGTGGAGCAGGTCCCACTGATGGAGCCACAGAGAAAAGCCTTGATAACTGGATGTAACTGCAAGAGAAGAACAGGCATTAGCAGCTCTGCCTGGCAAGTCACACTCCCTTCACCACTCCTGGACCAGTCATGAGGCCCTTCAGGCACTCACCTGCGGCTGCCTCCTCTTAACTCTGCATCAAAGAAGGGAAAAGTGTGCTGTAAACAACACTGGGATGGGCACAGCATGGGGTCTTACTGTTTACTGCTAATAATTTTGCTGTCACTGAGCAACACATCCATTTCCACGCCACATTCCCTATTTGTCCTGACTGGAAAAGTTAATGATCATCTTTATCCTTGGAAAAGCAAAATCAACTGAGTGGTCTCTTAACTGCTGGTTTCCAGACTCCCCTGTTTGCTGGATTTGTAGATACTTAAAGGAACAAGCCATAATACATAAAACCTTAAGCTCAGTCACCAAGTATATCTTCCAGTATAATCCATGAATTTCCTTGTTTAAGGTTTTAGATCCTAAGCCGACCACAAACAGTTCTGCAGAGCTGTAGTCACTCCTGATTTAGGGTTCCCCCTTCAGCCCTTTCACTGTCACACATCCTGGCCTATCTGCTGGTGCCATACAGAGCAGCAGAACTCTTTCAAACACTTAAGTCTCTCCCCCACGCATCCTGGGGAGGGCCAATAAGTTCATTAAATACTGAAGCTGACGACAGCCCTGAGGTAGCAATAGGTGCTTCCATAGCAAGCAAAACCAGGCAGTGTGTGGGTTTCCAGGGTTTCCAGCCAACTCCCTCTCCTCAGAGATGCCCAGCTCTTCTGCTAACCAAAGCTCCTACAAGAACAGTTCCTAAGCCTCACCTGAACCTTTGAAGCAGTGGTGGGCCTGGTTTCTTCACACACCAGGCCTCTCTCTTCCTTGGACAATCTCTCCTTTGCCTGAAAACACTCCAGAGCCTTTGTATTTCCAGCACCACACAACGCCGTCTCCATTCTCTCTGTGCCAGTCACTGCTCAGGCCTTGGGCTTGTCATTCAGCCAGAACTCCTGCACTAAGGTGGCTAAGGACTCACCCAGGGTCTGCATACTTGGGCCCCCTTTTCTGTCCCTGTCCTTATCTTACTTAGACTCTCTGGTGCATTTGTCACTGATGACTGCCTCTCTCGGGATAGGTTCTTCACTCCTCTCCCTGCCTGCCTGCCCCTCAGATACTGCTGTGCTCCTTATCTCCTGGGTCTGCAGCCCTCTCAGAGTAGCCTCACCCACAGCTGGTCTTCACACACAAGCTGTTAATGTCACACCTCCAGCCCACTCTCTGCTACCCCAGTACCCCCTTCCTCCCCCATTGGCCCACAGGGGTCTCAAACTCAACAGGTTCAAAATGGAAACTTGATCAACAGTTCTCCACACACTCGCCTCTTCCACAGTGCACATGGGGAGCACTGGGACGAGACACAAGGTTCATTCTCCTGGCTGCTTCCTGCCCATGTCCTGCTAACTGACCCTTCAGTCTACCCTGGCTGCCCCTGCAACCTAAATAACAGAGAGACTCTCTAAAGATGACTTGGGAATGGGGGGATTGCGAATGTGGGGTACTGTGCTATAAGGGATCACAGGCATAGAGCATACCCTTGAACCCGTTCTTCCTCCAGCTCCAGACATTAATCCAGTCCTGGTTTTCCTAACATTCCTCTGGCTGCTCCTTTAAACTGTGCTGCTCACTGAGCCAAGCTCCTGTTTCTCAACCACTCGGGCAGCTTCCTTCCATTTCTGTCCTTCCATCCACACATACAACTGCTCTCCAGAGCTCCAGACAAACCCACATAGCTACATGCTCAGACATCCCACAGGCACCTCAGATGACATTTCTAAACCTGAACCCATCAGTCTTTTCAATCCAACCTGTTCCTCCTCAGTGTGTCCCATCCAGGTGAGTGCCCTGCCATTTATTTACCCAGCTGTCCGAACTCAAAACCAGGGCACCATCCTGGGCTGGGCCTCTCCACACCTGCTCTCATTCTATCTCCTGAGTGGCTCTCAACCCACTTCCTTTACCTGTCCTGGTTCACAAAGCCCATGTGAGGGTCCAGTGCTCCTCCTAGGATTCCTGGACCAGCCCCTATGGCATCAGCCTTTTGACTGAGAGTCCAGGACAAGAGCAGACATAACTACTATCCATCTCATTCATGGTGTATCTCAGGAACCGACCTCAGAGCTTAGTCTGTAGGTGTTCAACAGTGATGCATGAATGGTTCTTTTTTTAATTTTTATTTTGTGTGTTTTGCTTGTATGTAAGAGCACCAGTGTGTGCAATGCCCTTGGAGGCCAGAAGAAGGCATCTGATTCCCTGGAACAGGAGTTATAGACAGTTGTTAGCCTCCTTGTGGGTGCTGGGAGACCAACCCAGGTCCTCAAAAAGCAGCCAGTGCTCTTAACCACTGAGCCATCTCTCCAGCCCCAAATGATTCTTATCAACTAACAGGAAACCTGTACTCAATTCTCCCTTGAGCAGAGGCCCACAAATAAGGCTCAGTGGTGCCTGAATGTTCCATCCAAGGACAGGTTAAAGTGACCCCAGCAGTTTCTGTTTGGTCCAGCAAGGACAAAGGAATGACCTGCAGTTACAGCCTCTGGGCAATCCTCCCATGTGCTGTGTCCCCAGTGCTAACACAGATACCACGCCCTGTTTATTTATTTGTGCTTGGAACTGAACCTAGGGCTTCATGTATGCTAGACAAGTGCTCTACCACTGAACTGTAGTCTCAGCCCTATACTCAATTTACTTTAAGGGTGTTATCCTTCACCGCCTGACCTGACCCGATTGCAGAAACTATCTTTTTAATATCTTATCTTCACAGCACAGTGAATGAACATATCATTGGCTCAATAAATTCATACTGAATTAAGACCACAGCTTTTGAAATTTTGTAATTTTCCAGGTCTATTAACACACAGCAAATGCTAAACTTATCAGCAGTATAGGTTCTAATAGGTAAGTGAATGAGTTCATGATTTTTGTAAGTGGACAGCATACCCTTTGGAAGAGAACTTAGTTTTTGATTGTTTCAGTGATGGAGACTGAAGCCTTGTGTGTGCTGAATAAGTGCTTTACACTCAGCTGCACCTCCTGCTTTAAGAAGGGATTTAAGAGGGTTGGAGAGATAGCTCAGCCGTTAAGAGCACTGGTTGCTCTTGCAGAGAACCTCCACTTGGTTGCCAGCAGCCCCATAGTGGCGCAGGACCATCTGTAACTCCAGTTCGAGAAGATCCAACATCGCCTTCTGCTCTCCACAGGCAATGCATGTAGGAGGTGTATTTACATACATGCAAGGAAACACTCATACACATAAAATAAAAATAAATACTTTTTTAAAGGGGACTTAATTTATTTTAGTAGCTCAAGATTATTCAAATTAAATAAGATGAATCCAGGTTTTTTGTTTTTTTTTTAGGAGAGGGGAAGGGAAAAAACAATTCTAAAACAATTCTACGCACAAACACGAAAGAAATGACTAGCCCTTAAACAAGTTGCTAATGAGTTCCACAAACAACTCCTACCCTTCCCCCAAAAAACTCAACAACGAAAGCACGAACTCCAACTCATTTAAAAGCAAAAGCTGGAAGGGCCAGAGAGGGAAAAAAAAGGAGGCAGTTTTTCAAAGACAAGAACTTTGAGACGCTGCTGTTGCCTTTATAGATTTCAAAGAAGGGCCGGGCGTGGTGACGCACGCCTGTAGTCCCAGCACTTAGGAGGCAGAGGCAAGCGGATCTCTGTGAATTCAAGGCCTGCCTGGTCTACATAGTGAGTTCCAGCCAGATGGGGCTACAGGGAGACCCTGTTTCAAAAAGACCATTTAAAAAAAAAAAAAAAAAACATTTCAAAGAAGAACTGCGTACTCTGCTCACTAAAGAACTAAGAACCAGTATTCCTAGCACCCTCCCCAGGGTACCGAGGCACCATGGAGATAAGCAGAGACTGCCACGCCTTTTCCACCGAGGCTAGCGAGGACCCGCCCAGAAAGCAGGAGACACCGCCCCTCCCCGCCTCCGTGTCCACCAATGGTAGTCCGGCGCCCGACCGCGCAGCCAATCCGAACACAGGGGCGTGGCCTCGCGGGGTCGCAGATGCTCAGGCAGCGGGCCAGCAGGGAGGAGGCCCTGGGGAAGTGTCCATCGTGGCCAGGCAAAGCCCGGGAGCGCTGCCACCTGTCGCCGCAGTGTTCTAGAAGCACCGTCCTACGGCACTAGGCCGCTCCCTCCAGCTGCCCCCGTCCCCGCGGCCTCACCATGAGTGTCTCCACCGAGTCCCCCACGTCCCGCGGCGGCAGCAGCGCCGACCTTGCCTTCTCGATCATCGGGGCCTCGAGCTCCGCCCCGGCGACTGCGGGGCTCCGGTGCCCGACGAGCCCGCGAGAACCAGTCTCTGCTCCTCACCAGCCCGACTCGCTCTGCCGCCCTGCGCTCACGCTCATCGTTCCTTGGAAGGCCTCAGTACCTGAGGGTAGCAGGCTCTGTGTTTCCGGGGTAGGAGAAAGCTGGACGAACCAGTTAGAAAGATGAGGCTTCGTTTCCGCTTCCGAAAGGTCGCTCGTCCAGCGCCCCGGCGTTTTTAGCGTCCTCTGGAGGCTTCACTCAGAACTGCAGGATCCTAGGTTCACAGGAGCGTTGGGTGGTTATTGAGCTTTTAAAATGTGGGTGGTGTGACCGGCTGAATTTTAATTAAGTTATACTTAAAAACTGAAGTAGTATGGAGTATCCTCTTAAACACTACTTAAAGAGAACTCACATTTCTTTTTTAAAATTATTTATTTAATAACCACATACTTAGAAGAAGCATTTCATGACATCAGCATTGACATATTCAATAACAATTTTCAGGGCTAAGATGCATCTCTTTCAAAATTGGCTGTAAATTTTTAAGTTTAGAGTTGAATTGATACAGTTATACAATATTGTACTCTGAATAAACCCGATAAGACATAAAATTA